TAAAGATACAAACATCACCACTTCTATTCAACAGTGTACTGGAGGTACCAGCCAGTACAATAAATTATATATATTAAAAAAAATTGACAGGAAGAAACTACATTGTTATCATTCACAAATTATATGATTGTGTGTAGGAAAAAAAATCTATAAATGTGTTATCAGTTTCTCACTTTATCAATTCTTGTGGAAATAAAAATCACTGTACAAAAATCATTTTTTTTATAATGAGTATTTTGTTTCTGTACAAAAATTGATTCCATTTCCATACAAAGCAATCAACAGTTAGAAAATAGAATTTTTGAAAAAGACATTTATAAGAACATTAAAAAATATCAAGCATGAATAATAAATCTACAAAAGATATGCTAGTCTTCCTTGGTAGAAACTAAAAAAGTTTATGTACTAAAAGACACTAAAGGCCGCCTAAATGATGGGGGGATTTCTGTTCAAAAATTAGAAGATTCAATAGTGTAATTATAATTCAATACAATCTTAACTAAAATTCCAACAGGTTCATTGGTTTTTGTTTATTTATTTTAGTGGAACTTTATGAGCTGATTTTCAAATTTATGTAGATATACAGAGGGCCAAAAAGTAGCCAAGAAAAAATTTTAAAATGTATTACTTTCTCTACATAGTAGACCATATAGAGGCAGTACTACAGAGACGTAGGGAAAATATTCTTTTAATAAATGGTGCTGAAATAATCTGGTATAATATGCAGTATAAATAAATAAACAAATGAATCTGGACTCCCAAATTATACTGTATATTAAAAAATATATTTCAGGTAGATTTTAAGATTCAATGTAAAAGGAAGAACAAAAGAAAATTTAGAATGTAACACAGAATACCTTCAAAATTCTGAAATAGAAGAAAATTCCTTAAAGAAGATACAGAAAATATTAGCTGCAAGACTGATACATTTAAGTATTTTAAAATTAGGCATTCTAGGCCGGGCGGGTGGCTCAGCCTATAATCCCAGCACTTTAGGAGGCCGAGATGGGTGGATCGCGAGGTCAGGAGATCGAGACCATCCTGGCTAAAATGCTGAAACCCTGTCTCTACTAAAAACACAAAAAAATTAGCCAGGCATGGTGGCGGATGCCTGTAGTCCCAGCTACTCAGGAGGGTGAGGCAGGAAAATCACTCAAACCCAGGAGGCGGAGGTTGCAGTGAGCTGAGATCATGCCACTGCACTCCAACCTGGGTGACAGAGCAAGACTCCATCTCCCAAAAAAATAAAAAAATAAATAAATAATAAAATAAAATAAAATAAAAGTAGGCATTCTTACCATCAAATGCACCATTAAATGTGTAAAACAGCAAGCTACAGAGAAGAAATATTTGAATCACTTGTAACTGACAACGGACTTGATCTAGAACATACAAAGTCCTAAAAATCATTAAACAAAAGCAAACAACCAAATACAAGCACTCTAGACACTTCAAAAGAGAGAATCCAAATGGTCAATCATACATATGGAAAAGTGCACACCACATAAGTCTTTGGGGAAATAAAAGCTAAAATGAGATTCAACTATAAATGACCAGATTGGCAAATATTTAAAAATCTGACAATTCTCTAAGTATTGATGAACATGCAAAGGAATGAGAACTCTCATATTGTAGGTGTTAAGTATAAATTAAGGTAAGCCCTCTGGAAAATAGTTGGCTATTACCTGCTATAGATTAAGATACCCACAGTCTATGACCCAACAAATTCCACTTCTAGAAAATACCCTAAATAAAAGTATATATATGCATGCAGGATATATATTTTAAGAAGTCTGCAAAATTGCTGTTTGCAAATAACCAAGGATCAGAAACCATTCATACATCTATCAATAGAATGGGCAAATAAACTGATTTATAGTTAGACAATGGAATATCATACTGAAATGAAAATCAGTGAATTACAGCTACATTTCGTAACATTAATGAATACTAAAAACATAATATAAAACTAAAGTACAGTATTTTGGCTGGGCATGGTGGCTCACGCCTATAATCCCAGCACTTTGGGAGGCCGAGGCAGGTGGATCACCTGAGATCAGGAGTTTGAGACCAGCCTGTCCAACATGGTGAAACCCCGTCTCTACTAAAAATACAAAAATTAGCTAGGTGTGGTGGTGGTCACCTGTAATCCCAGCTACTCGGGAGGTCGAGACAAGAGAATCGCTTGAATCTAGGAGGCAGAGGTTGCAGTGAGCCAAGATCATGCCACTGCACTCCAGCCTACCTAGGCTACAGTGCAAGGCTCCATCCCAAAAAATAAAACCAAAACCAAACAAACTCTCTGTATATATATACACACTATAGTATCTTAGAATGCAAACTTCGATGGTAAAACTCTCTCTCTCTCTCTATCCATTTTTTTGAGACAGAGTCTTGCTTTGTTGCCCAGGTTGGAGTACAGTGGCATGACCTCGACTTACTGTAAACTCCACTTCCCAGGTTCAAGCGATTCTCCTGCCTCAGCCTCCTGAGTAGCTGGGATTACAGGCGCCTGCCAGCATGTCTGGCTAATATTTTTGCATTTTTTAGTAGAGATCGGTTTTACCATGTTAGCTAGGCTGGTCTTGAACTCTTGACTTCAAGTGATCTGCCCACCTCGGCCTCCCAAAGTGCCGGGATTACAGGAGTGAGCCACCACACCTGACCTAGATGGTAAAACTCTAAACAAAATTATGCAATTATATCATTAATCAGGACAGTGAGTAGTTTGGTGGGTTGCTGTGGTTGAGAAAGGGCATGCTAAGAACTTCTGGAAGGCAGCCAACGTTCTTGTTTTTGTCCTGAGTGGTAATTACAAAGCTGTTTATTTTCTAATGTTTTAAAACCTCATTCATTTATGTTTTATGTACTTTGTCATATGTAGTATACTTCACAAAAGTTAAAAAAAAAAAAGGTTTACAAAATTAAGAACAATGGTCATTCTCAGGTGAGGGAGAGATGAAATTGAGGAAGGCCATTGGTAGCTTTGAAGGTTACCAGGCTGTGATGTCTGCTTTCTTAAAATGAGCAGTGGATACGTTGCTGTTTATTTTATTATTACGTTTTGTACATGTACTTTATTGTATTATTTTATAGGTAGGTCACCAAAAGTGCAATTAATAAAAAAAAATTTGATACACTGGAATTCATTAAAAACTTTCACACTTCATATGACACCATCAAGAAAGTAAAAAGATAATCCATAGGAAGGGAGAAAGTATTTGTAAATCAGATAGCTGATTATTTTACAAATCCAGAATATATAAAGAACTCTTTCAGTTCAATAACAAGAAGATGAATAACACTATCTTAAAATAGCAAACTTTTTTTTTTCTTTTGAGACAGGGTCTTGCTTTGTTATGCAGGCTGGAGAGCAATGGTGCAATCTTGGCTCACTGCAACCTCCACCTCCCAGGCTCAAATGATCCTCCCACCTTAGCCTCCCAGGTAGCTGGGACTACAGTAGGCACACGCCACCATGCCTGGCTATTTTTTGTGGTTTTGGATAGAAACAGAGTTTTGTCATGTCCCCTAGGCTGGTCTCAAACTCCTGAGCTCAAGCAATCCTCCCACCTCAGCCTTCTAAATTTCTGGGATTACAGGTGTGGGCCACTGCTCCTGGCCAATGACAAAAGATTTGAATAGACTTTTCTGCAAAGGAGGTACACAAAACAATGTGCCAATAAGCACACAAAAAGATGTTCAACATGTGTAGGTTGTTAGGGAAATGCAAATCAAAACTAGTGAAGTTCCAATTTACAATCACTAAAGGTGTCCTAATCAAAAAGACAGATAATAACAAGTGTGGATGAGGATTTGGAGAACAGAAATTCTTATTAATTGCTGATGAGAATGAAAAATAGTATAGCCACATTAAAAAAAAAAAAGAGTTTAGAAGTCTCTAAAAATGTTAAACATAGAGGTACCATATGATCCAGCAAATCCACTCTTAGGTATCTACCTAAGAGAGATGAAAACGTATGTGGACACAAAGACTTGTACATAAATGTTCATGGCAGCATTATTCCTAACAGCCCCAAAGTGGAAATGATCCAGCTGTTCATCAACTGACAAATGGATAAACAAACTTTAGTGTATCAATACAATTTGGCAATAAAAAAGGAAAGAAGTATTGATACATACACAACACGGATGAATCTCAAAAACTTATGCTTAGTGAAAGAATCCAAACACAAAAGATCATACAGTAAATAATTCCATTTATATAAAATGTCCAGAATAGGAAACTCTATACAGATAGAAGTAGGTTAGTCACTCTCTAGTGCTTGGGTAGGAGTGACTGCTAAAAGGTATAAGGAATCTTTCCAGGGTGTTGGAAAAGTTCTAAAATTAGCTTGTGGTGATACCTGCACAACTCCGTAAATATACTAAAAACCATTAAGGTATATATACACTTACAATAGGTGAATTTTTTTGATATGTAAATAATACCTTAATAAAGCTATAAATTTGTCAAGTAGGGCAGTTTCCTTAAATATTACTGCATTTTTCTGGAAAAAAATCATTTAAAACTTCTAGAACTTGATATTGCTCTATTGGCAATTTGGTTCCTTCCTGCCCCAATCCTTCTGCCTTTAAGAGGGGGAAAATTCAGGGGCATAGTAAATACCAAGTGTTTTCCAAACATAAAAAAGTATAAATTCTCACAGATTAAAAAAAATCCTCAAATGACTGAGAATCTTTCTTAGGGCTGATAAAGAATAAAACGGGTTTAAAAAATAAAGAAATGAACTATCTGTAATGAGGCAATTTTCCAAATTCTGAATGACAGAATACAGGGCTTTCTCCTATAAAGCCTGAGGTAATCATTTTTAAAACTGTTTGGTAGGAAACAGTTACTATTCTGGGAACTTTAATGTTTTCATAAATAAAACTGAGTACTTTTGCATCAGTTGATAACAATAATCTCATATACTTAAGGGCATATCCAAATATTTGTCTTTCTAGCAAAAAAAATTCTGTAGGAGGATTGTTTTTACCGTTGACGTGAGGAGGAAACTGCCAGGCCTTGTTAGTTGAGGGACCGATGTCCCTGCGATTGCCATGGCAACGGTCTGGCTTATCATACTTCCGCTCTCACTTTCATAATCATCAGTGGCTATACAAATTGGTCTTCCCCGTTGATTGTGAGTTTCTAAAGAAAAATAGTCCAAAAAAATAAATAAATAAAACTCTTTAGTTGAACTAATTCCTTTTCCTATTCTCCACTATTCTTTAAAAGAATAACCTGTTAACATGTAATAGTTATTAGATTTACTTCTTTTAGATAATATTTTAAATATCTTTAACAGTAACTCATTGCTATGGTAATAATTTATAGTTTATAGAGAACATTAACTTGCTAGTCAAAGAAGATACAAGAATATAAACATTTCTGCCTTCAGGTAAGGAAATTCATGTTAGTGATCAAAATAATAGAAAGACTGCTCAACTATCAGTCTCTTAAAGGTAAACAGTTGGTTATCTTTGTAACACCAGCACCTGTCGAAGTTCTTAATACACATTAGATACTCAGGAAACGTTTCTGTTTTACTAAACTGGAAGCTTTCGGGCTAATTGCTAGTTTAAACTCCCTCATTTGCCCTAACGAAAATATTGTTGCAAACTAAATTCTATGTTTAAGTAAATTCTAAATATGTAAAGCAAGAGCAATAAAACTTTGTAGGGTCTAGTTTTGAAGAAGTAATACCACTCAACTTATTAACCTGGTGTTAGCAATAAACATAATTCCTGATATTCAAGTGAATATTCATTTCAATTTTATATATATGAATAAAGTCAAAACTGACGGTGGTAAACATCTGTCAAGTTTTCTTGTATTTTTTCAGATGTACAGTACATGTTTACACAAACATTTCCTAAAATGTAGGTACAGAATTGCTACAAAATCATTGTTTTAAAATTCATCATAAGAACTATTTAAAGCAATCTTACATGGAATTCTCTCACATGGTCAAAGGTTTTTTTTTGGCAATATACTTAAATATTTATAGTTTACTTTTATCAGTGCACAATTCTTACTTTCCTAAAATAAGATCTTCATCCTTGAGATATTTTCTAACACTTTTAAACATTGAGCTTTGCCTTTAAAATGTCTTAATTATACCAGGTACCTGTAAAATCATACAGCTGAGGTACAGTTTCCATGATAATACCAATCAGAGGTAGATACAACATGGCCACTCGAGCCTTTATCTGGGGGTCAGAGTACCGTGGGTCTGAGTCATGACTGGAGAGTAAATTGTGTACCATATTGATGACTTTCTTATGCAATCCAAACAGTCTATTTAAAAAGAAGACGACAAAGAAGAAAAAGCAGTAAGGCCACAGAGATTAGCTAACATCTTTAAAACAAACAGTAAGTCATGGTATTGAAAAAATTTTGTTCAATTTCTTACCTTTGTCATATATTTGCATGCATTCCATTCCTACAAAACATTTCTCATTTTAAAATAAATTAAATGTACAAAAATGTAAAAAATGTGTAAAATAAGAATTGGAGAAAAGGAAATGCTATACAAATTCACTTAGAATTAAATCTGAATATTTTTATATTAACTCCTTATTAGTATATTTGAATATAAAGAAACTAAGACTACTTATAGTTACATTTTGAAGCTAAACAAGGTAAATTTTAAAATGCTATAAATGTTATTACATCAAATCAGATCTTTCACATTTACCAAAAATAAACTACTCCCTTTTTCTGAAAGAAAAATCCCCTACCTAATGGATTATGTAGCCCACAGGCTGGGGTTGCCTTTGACATCTCTATTTAAACTGCACTTCTTTACTAATATACCTCATTTGGGCCCTTACAACTTTTTTAGACTCCCAATCCCCCTCAGTTTCAAATGGGCTAATACACTAACAAGGGCCACTTTCACTTAAACATTTTTGTCTCTCCTTAAGCTGATGGCACTTTAACTATACAAACCATTCTAATTTAAAATTTATCTACTCCAACTTCAACTGGCCCTTAATGTTGCATCCACCAGCAGTTTCAGATCTCACTCTCTCTCCTTAAGCCTCTTATTATCAATCACAACTGAAGACCTTACTTCCAACTTAGGAAAGAAAAGCCATTCTGAATTTGCTCTGGCCAGGTCTTTTAACACAATTCCATCTTTATAGCTCACAAATCATCTTTCCTTTTTGTCTCAGAAAAAATGTACCTTCTCACAGAAAATAATTTCTCCATATGTTCAATGAACCCCACCTTTTTTCAATAGCTTCAATGTCTCCCTTCATTACGCTCTTCCCTTCTTTCTTCAAATGTGTCTTTCCTATCTTGAAAATATATCATCACTTTAAAAAGTTGAGACTAGAAAACAGGTAGTCTTCCTCCAAAGCCCTTGATTGTATCTGCCATTTTACAAAGCTGTATGTGAAATCTAGATGGAGATTCTTTATTCTTTCTTCCAGCTCTTTATTCATAAAGTATACCTTTATAGAGGCTTTAAAACGCATGAAAGCAAACAGCTAAGAGATGGCCACACGCTCAGACTACAACATCCAGAAAGAGTCTGCCTGCACGTGGTGCTTTGCCTGCGAGGTGGCACCACTGGGCCTTGCCTGCACCAGCTCACTCAGAAACACAACTGTGACAAGATGATCTGCCTCAAGGGTTATGCTCACCTGCACCCCTGTGCCGTAACTGCCACAAGAAGTACAGCCACAAAACATGCTGCGTTCCCAAAAGAAGGTCAAATAAGACACCTCCCCTGGCTCCTCCTTCTCCCACTGGGTGGCCTCCTGCCAAGCCCCATGGCCCATGTTTCCCTTTTATTGACTAGTGGGTATAGGGAGGGCCAGTGGGCAGAAAGTATACGTTTAAACATTGTCAAGAACCACATCTAGTGAACCTATCTCAGATCTCATTATCCAGCTCCACTTGACACTTTGTCATCTTACATAATCTCTTCTCAGGATTTTCTCCAGTAGTTCCCACCTTCCCCAGACTCCCCATCATTATTCCCAAGGCTTAGATCCTGGTCAGTTGCTTTTCACGTTCTCCTCTTTGACTTCCTGTATAAGCACTAATGATTGCCAAAGGTGTTCCTTATCTGTCAGCAGCTACCATACTCATACTTCAATCTACCTAAACTCTAACCACTCGTCTTCATAAAGCCTTTTCATATGTTTACACAGCTTAATCCCATTCAGTTATTAAATATATATTAATACAAGATCTGTAATATCATATTCTAGATGTTGAAGATAAGACATTCCCCATTTTTAAGGAGCTCACTTTAGCAAGAGAAAAACACAGACATAAAAATAATAATTCTTCAATACTTCAAAGGATTTTTCAATTCTTTATAAATGCTACAATAAAGGAATATAAATCCTTTCATCTTCTAAAGAACCATGTACTACAAAACCAACATTTAATCATAGTGTACTGTTTTGCAGTCTTAACTTTCTAATTATAATGAAAGTTTCTAAAGAGCAAATCTTTGGTTAATTATAGAACACATTATTGCCACTTAAGGAATTATTCTTGATTATATAGCAGCATGTGGATTGAAAGACAAACATTCCTCTCAAGGATCTTTCTAAGACAATGCTGCATATAATCTATATATCTCCCAAGACAGTAAAATTTAAAGGTGAGATGTGAGTTTCTTACAGTTAATCATTCATTCATCAAATTAACATATATTACCAAGTGCCCACTTTGTTCCAGACACAATACTAACACACTGGGAATACAGCACTGAACAAGAAAGACAAGGTGCCTGTTCTTATGCTGGCACATGCTCACATTCTACTGTGAGAGGACAGATAATAAACAAGCAAATTTCAGATAAGTGCACTGTAGAAACTAAAACAGGGTTATATGGTTAAGAATGACTGTGACAAGGGCAACACGGCTGTTACTTATTTATGAGACAAAGTCTTGCTCTGTTGCCGAGGCTGTGGCATGATGTTGGCTCACCGTAACCTCCGCCTCCCAGGTTCAAGTGATTCTCATGCCTCAGCCTCCCGAGTAGCTGGGATTAGAGGGATGCACCACCACGCCCAGGTAATTTTTGTATTTTTAGTAGAGATGGGGTTTTACCATTTTGGCCAGGCTGGTCTCAAACTCCTGACCTCAGGTGATCCACCCACCTCAACCTCCCAAAGTGGGATTATAGGTATGGGATTATAGGTATGGATTATAGGCTGGGATTATAGGTATGAGCCACCACGCCTGGCCTATTTATTTATTTATTTATTTAATTTTCTTGAGACAAGGTCTCACTCTGTCACCCAGGCTGGAATACAGTGGTGTGATTATTGCTGCCTTGACCTCTTGGACTTAAGTGATCCTCCCTCCTCAGCCTCCTGAGTAGCTGGGACTATATAGGCATGCACCACCACGTCTGACTAATTAAAAAAAAATTATTGGTACAGACAGGGTCTCACTATGTTGCCCAGGCTGGTCTTGAGCTCCTGGGCTTAAGCAATCCTCCTGCCTCATCCTCACAAAGTGCTGGGATTACAGGCATGAGCCTCCGTGCCTGGTCAACATGGCTGTAATTTAGGTTGGGTGGTCAATGAAAATCTCACTGAGAAGATGCTGTTTGAACAGATAGCTGAAGAACCACAAGCAAGAAATGATTATGTGAACATCTGAGGGCTATTCAACATTGCTTCAAGAGGAGAAAAATCCACGTGCAAAGGCCTGAAGGTGGGAATGAGCTTGGCGCATTAGAGAAACAGAAAGTAGGCCAGCATGGCCAGATCTTGGTATGTGAGGAGGAAGAGAGTGGCAGGAGAAGACAAGAGCCAGAAATACAGGGCCTTAAGAACCTATATATGGCAACTATATGCAAGACTATCTTGCAGTCATGAGACGCTCCAGCCTTAGGATAAAGCTGACACTTCCAGCAGAGGTAAGAAATGTAAAGAACTGGAATCATGATGGCATCACTGAACTGATGATATTACTGTGATAAAAACCTATTTTTCTGGGGGTTGATCCGTTCAGAGCCCCCTCCAGCTTTATACCAGGGAGCTGTTTTCTTCTTTCTTTCCTCTTTCTTGCCTATTAAACTTTCTGCTCCTTAAAACCAAAAATAACAAATAATAAATAATAAAAATCCTACCTTTCTTCCAATTTTGAAATAGTAAATTTCCTTCCTTTAATAAAGCCAGCTGGAGGAAGAATTTTCTATTTATTGTAACCAAAAACACCTTCATATACCAAGTAAACATACTGAAAATATAGATTCAAATGAGTGAGCTATACCAGGTATTTTAAAAAGCTAGTATGTTTAGATAAGTTGTTTTTAGAGTGTTTTTCCCCAAACAACAGATTCTTTTATTATTTTTTTTAATGACATCATAGTCATTTGTCAAATGGCAAAATACAAAAGTGGCGCCAAGCAGGGGTGGAAGGCCCAGAGTTTCACCCATTTAGTTTGCCCTCTCTGTACTCCAAAGTCTGCACACACTGCCCACCCCAATCTACACGGAAACCCATTAGCACCTCTTCAGGACCCTCCAGCTCTGTTTAGAACACAGGGTGAAAAACTATTTCTTTAAAATAGGTTCCAAACTTAGGAAGTTGCCATTATAAAAACACATGTCTTTGTCTTGCAGATCTGGTCTTTCACAATTTATTCAGTATTGACTATGCCCCTGACATACTGCTAAGAACTTGACATACCTCCTCTCTTATTCATTCAATAAATAGAGAACCCTTGTAAAAACCTATTTAAAGTATCTTTTTGTTCTCTGGAGTTCTTGTATGAGGCTAAACTGCATTATAAACTTGTATTATTCCTACTATGAGAAAAACACTTTTAAGTCATTATTACCCAAATGAGTTATGGTCATAGTATTAAGATGGACATACCACACAAAGGATGCTGGACCACAACAACACATCAAGCTTTTTTTTTTTTTTTTGAGAAGAAGTCTTGCTCTATCACCCAGGATGGAATGCAGCAGTGTGATCTTGGCTCACTGCAACCTTTGCCTCCTGGATTCAAGCAATTCTCATGCTTCAGCCTCCCGAGCAGCTGGGATTACAGGCACAAGCCACCGTGTGCGGCTGATTTTTGTTATTTTTAGTAGAGATGGGGTATTGCCATGTCAGCCAGGCTGGTCTCGAACTCCTGGACTCAAGTGATCTGACTGCCTTGGCATCCCAAAGTGCTGGGATTAAGGTGTGAGCCACTGCGCCTGGCTACATCAAGCTATTTCTATAAATTCAAATCATCAGGCCAGTGCAGTGGCTCACGCCTATAATACCAGCATGTTGGGAGGCTGAGGCAGAAGAATTGCTTGAGCCTGGGAGGTAGAGGTTACAGCTGGCTGAAATCAAGCCACTATTGTCCAGCCTGGATGAGGGTGACAGAGTGAGACCTATTCTCAAAAAAACCAAACAAACAAACAAAAATCACCTCATCAGACAACATATTTTTCTAATTACATCAATTTCCAAACATCCTTTAAAAATGTACACAACTTTGGAAGTTTTTAAAACCTAAAGACATTTGTTTATAGGGCAATTTTTGAAATAAAATGCTACATAGTATGATGGCAAATTATAAATTTTTGGCCAGGCGCAGTGGCTCACACCTGTAATCCCAACACCTTGGAAGGCTGAGGTGGTGGATCACTTGAAGTCAGCAGTTTGAGACCAGCCTGGACAACATGGTGAAACCCCATCGTTACTACAAAAACAAAAAAATTAGCTGGGTGTGGTGACATGTGCCTGTAGTCCCAGCTCCAGGAGGCTGAGGCAGGAGAATCGCTTGAACCCAGTAGGCAAAGGTTGCAGCGAGCCGAGATCCCACCACTGCACATTAGCCCGGGAGACTCCGTCTCAAAAAAAAAAAAAAAAAAAAGAGAACTTGAGCTCTAGAATAAAGCCTTGGTTCAAAGCCTGGCTCTGCCACTTTTTACTCAGTGACCTTTCTGTGTTTCTGTTTTTCTAATCTGCAAAATGGGTATAATAACAGAACTTGCCTTCTTAGAGTTATTCTGAAGATTAAATGACTTAATACTTATAAAGTACTCAGAACTGAGCCTATCATACAGCTATTATTCAATAAGTGCTATTTTTTCCATTGTATAAAATTCTTCTTCACAAAAGTGACTTCAAATATATGTATATTCACACAATTAGCATACCTGAGATGTTGCAAGAGCAAGAATCTGTCTCAAACAAACAAAAAAGGATAAATTTTCCTGACAAGGAATCAAAGACCATTTTCCTCAAATGAAAAGCACTTACTTTATATCAACAAATCTATCTACTAATATGCACAATTTATTTTATATACTATTAAGAAAAAGAATGATACTAAATGAATCATGATATGCCACCAATTTTAAGACAAATCCCAAATTCAGAGGTGACAAAATATGAGAAAAAGTCTTTCATAAAATTGATTAAACAGCTACGTGAGAAACTTAGTGAAGAGGGAAGCAGAAAAAGAGTGTAAAAGATTACTCTCCTAATCCTTGGGAAATGTGAGTGGAATACTTCTGTCCACTGTTCAAAATCAAACTCATATTCTACAAGGTAAAAACTGTTCTACTTACCCTTCAGCATCAGGGTCTAAAATGACAGCCAGCTCTGTTAACACAAGTCCTGCCAAATAATGCTGTTGGCGGAAAGGCACGGACAATTCAAACATATTTGCAATCTTTTGGTCTTGTACATTCGTAGAAAATCCAGAACTCTGTTGGAGAGTGAGGCAGAACAAGACTATAACAGCAGTGCAACAAAACATCCTACAGACAGAGCAATATAAGAAATGAAATACTTTTTCCTAGGGTAGTTTATTTTATATTACTAACACTAAAGAAAGCAACTTTTCAGACTTTTGGGACAGGAAACTATAATGAGATTGCTTTATTAATTTAATTACTTTATTAAAGAAATTAACCATTGAAAATTTAATTATTTTACATTTCTTTTTTCATATATACTTTCCTTTTCCCCTTTATTCTCTTAGCCACTTTTCAGTATCACACTCTGACAAAAAAAAGAAGCAACTAAATCCAAATGACATAGATGCACTTACCCCAAAGTTTAAGAGAAATATTCATAGTTAAGACTACTGGTTTCCAGAGAAATTCAAAACACCAGTACAACTGTTTTTCACAGAATATACTATCTCTGGAAAATTACCACCATTTTGTTGTCTACTGAGTTTTTTTTTAATGTCTTAATACTGCAAAATATTATAGCATTCTCCAAGATACAGTCCATATTGAGGACTCATGTGGGGTTTCTTAGAGCAACAACAGATTTCATATTTCTCCATGGCGAAAATCATCTCCTAATGAGAATATAAAACTCTTCTTAGCCTTTCAAAAAAGAGTGATGTCTCTGTTATCTAATAGAATCTGAAAATTATGTAGCTAGCTGAGAAAGTGGGCAACAAGATAACAGAAGAAATTCTATGAGCATTTCCTGGCTCAATGAGATGTTCAGTAAGAAGTTAGATATAAACAAATATGTTTCCTTAAGGGTGTTAGCAATCATATTTATGATTCATCTGTCTGTGTAGCTACATCTTTGGCAGAGGATAGGGAAAGAGAGAAAAAGGGCAGCCTCATCCACTAGATTAAGGGCATGCTAGCCAGACTGAACAGTTTGTGGAAAAATAGGCTGATCCAGAAGATTTTTTTTACAAAGATAAAATGAAAAGTTGTAGGCACCCTTTGATGTTTTCTAGTCTTTCTAGCTGAAGTGTAAATTTTGTTTTTTAAATCAAGCATATGAGATATCACCTACATAATCCTATTCAGGAATTAAATATATTGAAAACAAAATTAAGAAGTACTAAGATTAACTTTCACTTTAGAAATTAAGAGCTTAAAGAAAGCAGCCTCCTTGCCTCAGGAACAATACAATAGAAAGAGTGTTTCACTGGCGAAAGGGAAATACAGGCTTCTCTGATACTAAAACCACAAAAATCTCTTAATCTCAATTTATAAAAGAGGACGTACATCTTATCTACTACAATAACACTTTTTCATCTATAGAGACCCTACTAGCTGTTGAAGTCAAGTACCACCCACTGAAAAACCCATCAATTTTCATCCAGTTTCCTTTGGGGCTTCTGGATACAAGAGTTAAGCAGGGCTTTGTCATGCCTCCACTGCAGTTTGACTTCTCTGTTCAATTATGCTTCATCCCCCACTTCCTTTCACAAGTATTGATCTCTAAAAAACATCTTGCATTTGAGACTCATTCTTCGTGTCTGTTTCAGAGAACCCAATTTGTGAAAACATCTAAATTAGTGAGTTTATTTAGGCGAATTCACTCACATGTGCACTAAGTCTATGAAAGGAATACAAAACAGTGGTTAAGAACTTGGGCTCAGCCAGGAGCGGTGGCTCACACCTGTAATCCCAGTACTGTGGGAGGCTGAGGCTGGCGGATCACGGGGTCAAGAGATTGAGATCATCCTGCACAACCAACATGGTGAAACTCCGTCTCTACTAAAAACACAAAAATTAGCTGGGCATAGTGGCACACGCCTGTAGTCCCAGCTTCTTGGGAGGCTGAGGTAGGAGAATCACTTGAACCCAGGAGGCAAAGGTTGCAGTGAGCTGAGATCACGCCATTGCATACTAGCCTGGGAGACTCCGTCTCAAAAAAAAAAAAAAAAAA